CTCTGTGTGTGTGTGTGAGTCTGTGTATGTGAGTTTATATGTGTCTGTGTGTGTGAGTCTGTGTGTTTGTGAGTTTGTGTGTGACTCTGTGTTTGTGAGTCTGTGTGTCTGTGTGTGTGAGTCTGTGTGTGTGTGTGTGTGTGTATGTGAGTTTATGTGTCTGTCTGTGTGAGTCTGTGTGTGTGTGTGTGAGTGTGTGTGTGTGTGAGTGTGTGTGTGTGTGAGCGTGTGTTTGTGTACATGTGTGCCTGGAGAGCTGTTGGCATGGTCAGCATGTCGTTAGAGGTTGCCCTTCTGGGAGGTTCCGATTTTCTGGCTCCTCCCTCCCAGCTCTGTGGCTACATCCAGATATTAAACCAAGATGGCTTTACACATCCTTTGCCTTTGTGTCACACAAGATTTTCCAAGGGGGTGTAGTGAGGATTGAATAAGAGACAGCGGAGGGTGAGAGATGGAAGGGGAAAGCAAGAAGCAGCAGTAGGCAGGCTTATCGCTGCCCTGGGGTTTGAAGCCGGTTACCAGCACCCATTTTCCAAAACCAGCCTGCCCAGATGGCTGTCTGCCCACCTCAGCGGAAAAAGGTGTTGTGGCATCAGTTCCTGCAGCGGTGCTACTGGGTAAGGCTGGGCGAGGGGGGAGGGCTGATGTGGGTGGTGTGTGGGAGGGTTTCCTCTCGGTGGCGTGTGTATGTGTGCACACACGTGTGTGCCTCACAGGCTGACCACAGACCGAAACTTTTCTGCTGAGAGTTCCAGTTTTAACCGGGCCACCAGATGTGCTTCCTGCCAGCTAGAGCTCTTGGCTAAAACCCTCATCTCCACTCTGCTCTTCACCTCACGGAGTCTGGAAGGTTCTGCATGTGAATGTGAGGGACACTGAGGACCAGTCCAGGGTAGCCAAGGAGGTCCAGCACTCTCAATTCCCTGGTGGCAGAAAGCGGGGCTGTTCTCCAGGGCTCAGAGAAGTCATGTCCCTGGCACCTGTGTGTAGCTCAGGCCTGCCCATCAGCCTGGGCTCAATGCCAGGGCTGTGCAAAGGCTGAGGGGCCCTGGTATGGGATGTCCTACAGGAGATGTCTGTGGGCACCATCTAAGGAAGAGACGAGGTCACAACAGAACACATTTGCCTACTGGGTTCAAGGAAACTCTCGCTAACTCTGTGTTTCCCATGACATCCATTCACCCTCTCTTCCTTTGGAACAGAACAGCTTGGTTCCAACACAGCTGCCTGGGTCTAAGGCTCCGTTCCCTGGGCTCCCTCACAGCTGCGTGAGGCAGGAGGCACAGTGGCCAGGGTTTGCAAATCCAAGTGCAGTGGGTGACCTTGGGGATGTCTGCCTAGAGGAAGTTGGCCTTCCGTGCCCCCTGACTTCTCCTGCTGGCTGAAGAGCGGTTGGGGTGGTAAGGCACGAGCGGCCATTGTGGGCAGCAGGTGACACATGCCACCCCTCTTCTGCACCTGGTACTTCACCAACCTGGGCCGACATGTCAATCAGCCTTGGGAGTGACAATCTGCTGCCTTCATCCGTCTTCAGGAAATCCAGCAGGCATCCTAAGAAAAGAGAAGTTGCAAGTGCCCTTCTGCAAAGTGGCCCAGCCCTGGTGGTGCTGGGTCACTCTCCAACTCTCCCTGGTGTGAGCGGCTCCCCATTGGGGGCGGGAAGTGGGAGTTTGCGCCCTCAGATCTCTCGGTGCATCAGGAAGGATCTACCTACTGCTGCCGAGTGCCTTCCACTTTACAAAATGCTAGCCGCAGCACCCCGGGAGCAGCCAATATGCCAGCAGTTGCCCAGAAGTTAGGTTTCAGCCAGGTGCAGGGACCTGTCTGAAGTCACCCAGCTGGAAGCTGGGAATGGAATCCCGGTTCTGACTCGAAGGTTCATGCCCCTTGTCTTTTCCTCCCATGTCAGCCTCGCTCCCTTGATCCCCGTTGGCAGACACCCTCTGCCTCTGAGGACCAGGCATCAGCAAGAAAGCACCAGAATGGAGAGAACTGTCCCCCAGGTTTGGTGTAGGGGACAAATGCAGCTCCCCCTGGAATCGGAAAGCTGGGAGGGATGGATGCTTGACCTAGGGGCAGGCTAGAGGCGCCCCCAGCACAGCCTCCGACCAGGGCCCCCTTGGTGACGGTTGTTAGGGAGCTGTATCAACATGGGCATGTTAGGATCCTACAGAAGCGGTGTGCCGTCAGGGTCATAGGAGGGGTGAGAAGGTCAAAGGCTGAGGCCCGATCCCAGACCTACTGCCCCATAAGAACTTGGCCATGCAGTGGACCTTGGAGGCCATCAAGCCCAACCTCTCTGGCCATCCTTGTAAAATATTCACACAGTTGTAAATGGTTGCATGACCAGGAAGCAGGAGACCTGGATGTAGTACCATCCCTGTACGTCTGGCCGGGTGCTCGTTTGACTTTGCAATGCTCAGCCCCTCCCAGCAGGCATCAAAAAGTGCTAGGCACAGAAGGACCACTCCAGAAATGCTGTCTGAACTGCTCCTGGGCTGAGAACATGGCTCTGTCAGAACCACTTCACCCTCCCTCCGTGCCTCCCCCTCCCTCCCTCTCCTCTGTCCCTCCCTGCCCCCACACTGTGCCATACCCTAGATCTGCAGGACCCCCTGGCCTGATGAGCCCACCACAGCAGACCCTCCTCCTCCTGCTAAGTCCATCCCTCCCGCCTCACTCTGAGGATGCAGCTCTGCGGGGGACACCACCTCTGGCCATGTACTCGGTGACAATGTAGATGGGCTCCTTGGTGACCACGGCGTAGAGTCGGACCAGCCGCTCATGCTGCAGGGCCTTCATCACGTTGGCCTCGCCCAGGAAGGCTTCTGGAGACATGGTTCCCTCCTTCAGCGTCTTAATGGCCACCTTCATGTTGTTTTTGTAGTAACCTGAGCCCGGGGGAGTGAAGAAGCCACTCAGAAGGCAGAGAGCTTGCTCGGAGGTGATCCTTTAACCAAAATCGGGGTAAGTGCCCAGGTGCCATGCTATTCCAGGTGCCAGAGCTGGAACGTGCAGCTCCGGAGGCCATGGTTGTGTGGGGCTTACCTTGTGTCCCAGGCCCCTTCTATACGGGGCCTCAGGCAGTGGAGGAATGTACCCTGTCTTGGGGGCATTTCACCTATTTGCACCACACCCAGGGCCTGTGTCCCTTCCTGCATGGAACCTGCCTCCTTCCCCCACTCCTCCCCTACATCATGAATCTCTTCTATCACACAATGGCTCCTTGGTGGAAATAAGCACGCCACTGGGGTACATAGGGCAGGAGGACAAGGTGTGGGGGCCTCCTTCCCTCCTTCTGGAGCCCCATGGTGGTCCTGTCCCACTCCTTAAACTACCTGTATTTCCACACGCTCCCTGCACCCCATGAAGTCCCCTGAAGGGCAAAAGACAACTCTACTCGTGTTTCTAGAGGACCTGGGCCTTGGCAGGGACCTGGGTGCAGCTCCTGCCAAAGGCACAGGGCATCAGCCCCAGGTAAGGGAGGACTCATAGAGCAGTCCAGGGATAAAATGGAACACGAGTTTTATATCCTGGTGGTCAGGGTGGGGGACAGGTGTCAGCAGCGATGGAAATGTGAGGACACCGGGCCTGGAGCTTCAGTGACCCGGCCAAAGCCCCACGGCTGCCTTCGGTGTGCACTCAGGCTCTGGAATGTCATGGCTCATCACGTTTAACCTCCTGTTTCCATCTGGGTGATGGAAAGCTAAGGGGAGTCAGTGCGCCACTGCAGCTCAATGGCAAAGCCAGCTTCAGGCAGAGAACGAAGGAGGGAGCGACTTGGGGGCTTGGTGAGCTGAATTCTGTTCCTGCTCTACTACCGCGATAAGCCACCCCAGCTGTTACAACGCGGCTCTGTACCTCCACTGCCTCCTCTGTAAAACGGGCGTCCTCGCCTCTGTCCTCGCTCCCTCTCAAGACTTCCGGAGGAGGGATGACACGCTATGAAAATATTGCACCTGGACTCAGGATGCGGCGTGGGTGGAACGGGGGGAGAGCACACTCACCCATCCAGACTTCGCCAAATTGTCCAGACCCGAGTTTCCTGACCAGCCTGAGAGACTGCCGGGGGATTTCCCATTCATCCTGGGCCCAGGGGTTCTGTGGGGCCAGGCTCACACAGGGCAGGGTCAGCCTCTGGCATAGACCATCCCCCTTCTCTGCATTAGGGAAGAAAAGACAGGGCTGGGGGTTACCAGAGCAGCTGGGCTCTCCCTTGGGAGCTGTATCATTCCTAGCTGGGCCCCTCCCTCCCCAGCCATGGGTGTGTGCACACGCCTGCACATGCACACACACTCAGCTCTTTCTCTTTGTCTGCATAAAGTAGGGCATGCTACCTCTAAAATCCACCTGCTCACTCTCAGACTGAACATGCTTGCTACTCTCTAAGGGGTTCCCTGCTGAGCCAGGAGAGGGAATTACGGCCACCAGTTCATGGTGCTCAGAGTTGCTACCTCCTTAGGTCTAACTTTGGGACAATCTTTCCATCCCCCAAGGTGGCACCAATGACTCACGCAATTGGGAATCTTTAGCGAGAGATACAGGAGCTCTTGGCACAAGTCCCTGCCCCCATTGCACGCCCCCCTCTTACTAGAATAGTGCTGCACCAGGGCCTGGAGCGAGGGGAAGGTGATCCGGGGGGAGATGTAGTAGCCCCCTTCGTCCAGGGAGCGGATCTTATAGTGCTTGATCAGCTCCCCCTGGGTGGTGACGTCCTTCACAGACAGGGAGAAGGCACCTGGAGGGTTCATGGAGACACACACACGAGAAGTAAGGCACAAAGACAAAAAAAACGGGACTGGGATTTGGCCCTCATTTTTAAGCTTTGAAAAAAGTTCCCCAATTCTGTTCTTCATTGTCACCACTCCCTCCACAAGTTCCCTTTCCCTGCATCTCCACCTCCACCCTTTTGGAAGCCTCCCCTGTAAGTTCCATCTGACTCTGACCTTGACATCCCCTCACTGTCCCCCAAAACTCAGCTGGGGAATCACAGAGCCCTGCGGCAGGCAGGATAGTTTCTCAGCAATCATGTGGGTCCCCACTTGGACACCTGGTCACTCGGGGACCCTTTGTCATGGACTATTGAGAAATCTAGGCTCATTGGAGGGACTAGGCGCTTTATTTTCTGGCTAAAGAGGGTATCCTTACTCCTACAAGCAGATAACCAGTCACAGCTGCAAGTACCCATATCCATGGCGGAGAGTGTAATAAGCTATTCCCAGGGACTCTGTTCAAATTCATTTGCTGCGTGTTACATACACCTGTTATTTTGTCTTCTAGGTTAATGTTTTCCCGCAGGCAAGTGGTAGCAGATGTCAAGGGTTAAGGACAATTTAGGAGGTAAGCGTTTCCAGATAGGAAACGTTTTTCCAACGAACTTGATGTTTTTTATAAAATGCATCTGTCCAGCTACCTGGGTACCATGACCTCACCCCGCCCCCTACCCATTATTTGGGAGATGGGGACGCTGGGGCCCAGAGAGTTCGCGGCAGGGTGGGGGGCTCCCGGTTCCCCGAGTGGGCGCCTACCACAAGCAGTACCACGACTCCCCGCCAGGGGTCAGGCACGGACCCCTCGTTCTCGGTGTGGACGCTTGGTTTTCCGCGGTCCTGTTTGACTTAAGGCTCTTTCCTCTCCTGTCCATTCCCCCGCCTCAACCCCTTTCTACCCTCCAGTTTCCCTCAGCCAATGTGCGTCTCTCATCACCTACTCGCAAAAGGACGCCCAGAGGCGTACGCCAGCGCGCCTTGCTGTTACCGCAGCCCTGCTACACGCCCACCCCAGCCTAAGCCCAGACCTTGCAAACTGTCTCCCCGACCCTGCCGGGGTGCAGCTGTGCCCCCAGTCTCTAAGGAACCCGAGCCCGGCCTTAGGGAGTTCATTCATCAAGGGCTTTTCTCTCCATTTTGTAGGCTGCCCTTGTGTCAGGTGCCTCGGGCGATGAGACCAGGAGCCTGCTCTCCACGCAGTGACGCTGCCCAAGCTGGTGCCTTAGGGCCCCTCACTTGCCTGGGCTGCTCTAAGGCCCGGTCCCTGATGGCTTCTGACAATTTGGTATCCTTCGTAAAGAGGACCTCAGATCCCATCAGCTTCAGTTTCACAAAACCTGGATCCCCTGCCTCTGTGATATATCTGGACTGCCCTGGGCAGGCAGGGCCTGGTTCTGAGGTTAAGATTTCTCAGCACTGAAGGACTGCCTGCCTTTGAGCTGTGAAACTAGTCCGTCCTCACACAGACACCAATAAACTGAGGCTTGAGAGGCTCAGGGACACCCCGGAGGCCACAAGGGGTAGAACTCACTCCCCTGCTTCCATCCCTGTCTTGCATTCACTGCTGTGGCTCCCAGAAGCAGAGGGGTCCTGCTTTGGAGTTGTGTGTGTGTGCATACATATGTGTAAGGTGTGTACATGTGTTGCACACGTGTGCATTACATCTGTGCATATGTGCACATGTATACATGCGTGCATGTCTCATGTGTGCGTGTATGTGTGCATATGTGTGTGCATATGTGCAGGTGTGGACGTGTGTATGTGGGTGCATGTGTGCATATGTGCACGTGTGTGCATGTGTATATGTGTGCACACTTGCCTGTGCATGCACGTGTGTATATGTGTGCATTTATGCATATGTGCATGTGTGTGAATGTGTGCATGTGTATGTGTGTGTGCTGGGGTGAGGATGGTTGAACAGTCCTGCAGCCCTGGTCCCATCTGGCCACTTCCCAGTTTGGACTGGCTTCCTGGGGTGGACATGGACAGGAAAAGATGCCAGACTCACAGAGAACCCCTTCTTCCTCTATAGCAGATTGGGCGGGGGGCGGGCAGGCTTTTACCTTAGCAATAGGCAATGGTTGAAATAGCATTTCCAGGGTGACATGACATGATGTTTGGGATTTGCTTTGAAAGAGTAGGGGCAGAGTGGGGGATACAGAAGAAACAAGACTGGCTCAGTTGATAATTGTTAAAGCTGGCTGTTGGGTACCAGGGGTTCCACCTAACTATTTTCTCTACTTTTGTGTATGTTTGAAATGTCCTGGAACAACAATAAAACATTTATGTCATCTCCAGTGATTCCCAAATTGTTTCTTGTACAGAGGTGCTCTGCCACAAAAATGGAATAGTGACAATAGTCAACATGAATATAAATATAAAATGTATATATCTATGTGTATGTATATGTATATATATGCATTCATTGGCACATTCCAAGAAATCCTGCACAGAGCACCCCAGCTTTCCAATGCACCCCTCCTGTTCCCCAACCTGGTCCTGCCCTTTTGTGGGGCAACAAGGCCTCATGATGTCCCCAGAGAGTCACAGGGTGCTATGACAGCTTTTCATACTCTGGGTTTCCACTCTCTGGCTGCTGTTCTTGAGCCACAGATGGAACCAATGGACAGCCCAAGGGTGCTCCCACCAGGTGACACCTCTGTCCATCCTCATCGTCCCAACCACAGGGAACCAGACTCATATTTCAGCCACTCTCTCTCCCTTTCCTCCTCTGATGTCACTGTCACCATCTCCTCTCCAGTTAAAATTGGCCACAAGGCTGTAGCCGGTCCCTGTGGACAGCTTCCTGATACGCAAAGTATTCTTCATACTGCGTGGGAAGTCCCTGGGTCACCCTAGCTTGCCACATTGTAGAGCTTGGGAATCCTCTCAGCCCCTCTTAGATGACTGGTGCTTTGGGCTCTGATGTTTACTGTTGGCCTCTAGCAAGTCCTGTTCTAGGGGCTCCCTTTCCTCATCTGTCAAATGGATTAGTATGTTACAGATGAAAAACTAGTGGCCAGTGAGCACCAGGGACCATAATAGGGTTCGGTGCAGCACATGCATTAATGGCCCCAAACTGGAAACAACCCAATGCCCACAGCATGCGAATGGCTCGCTTGACTCTGGAACGGTCACACTCGGGATTCTGTATAGCAATCAACATGAACAGGCTTACCATCCTCAATCACATGAATGAATCTGTTATGGGCTAAATCGCGTGCACTCCCAATTCCTATGTTAAAGTCCTAACCCTCAGTGCTGAGAAAGTGACCTTATATGGAGACAGAGCCTTTAAAGGGGTGATTAAGTTAAAATGAGGTCATATGGGTGGGCCCTGATCCAATATGGCAGGTGTCCTAATAGGAAGAGATTAGGACACAGACATGCGTGGAGGGATGGCCACATGAGGACACGGAGAAGACTGCCGTCAGCAAGCCAAGGAGAGAGCTCTTGGGAGGAGCCAGTGCTGCTGACACCTTGGTCTTGGACTTCCAGCCTCCAGAGCTGTAAGATAATAAACTTCTGTGGTGGAACCAGCCAGTCTGTGCCACTTTGTTAAGGCAGCCCAGGAAACTAACACAGAATCTCACAAACACTGCTGAGTGACAGGAGCAAGACACACAGAAACAAAAGCAGTGATTCTATCTGCATAAAGCTGAAAAACAGACAAGACATGGTGGCAAAACCATAGAGAAAGGCAAGGAAGGATTTTGACCCAAGTCAGGATGGCAGGTAGCTCTTGGGGGTGGGGGTTGACTCAGGAAGGAGCCCAAGTAGGGGGGTGAGGAGGCTCCTGGTGGTCTGGAATGCTCTATCTCTTGGCTGTGATTACACAGGGATTTGTTTATGATTACCCTATATAATTTAGAATTACACACTCATACTTCATGCAAGCTTTATATGTGTTTTATATTTTACACCAAAAAAAAAAAAAATTAAGAAGGAAAGAAAGCCAAATGACAGAGAAAGAGAGAAGACCCCTGAGAGTGATGGCAGCGATGTTTTGCTCAGTCAGTGGATTTGATCTCATGAGTGTCTAGACTGGCATGGGCTCCCCACAATCACCACCCCCTTCCTTTACATCAGGGCACAGGCCACTTCCTCGCGTGTGCTACCTGCAGCCTCTGGCTGGGATGATCTTGAAGGATTCTTTGAGGTCCCCCCAATCCTTGATTCCAAAGAGGTTGGTGGTTGAGGGCTCAGGGTTCCCCCTTCCCTGGCCCCCACTGGCCTCGGTGTTACTGCTGACTGGGTAGCAGGGCCAGTCTGACGTGGGACCACCCCGTCCACCCAGCTTCCTGTGCCCAGGTGGTTTCCAGTCTGGACAGAGAGGACTGTTTGTGTGGACAGCCTCCACATCAACTCCTGGGCAGGGCCTGGATAGGGAGGGACACAGGTCCAGAAGCTGCTGGTTCTCCCGGAAGTCACCTCTTCCCCTCTCACTCCAGGGCCAGGCCTCTGGAGGGGGCTTCCCAGGATGCACCGGGCAGGCAAGGCAGGCAAGGACACCATGCCTACCTTTGTTGGTTTCACTCTCTCTGATAAGAAAGGAGCCGGTCTTGTTGATTGGAGCCAGAAGCTGCCTCTCGGCCTCCTTCCGGCTCAGTGATCTAAAGAACCACCTGGAAAACGGCAGGAATAGGTGAACCTCAGAGCGACCCTGCTCCTCAGAGTATCCCCACTGAGCCTCCCTCCTGCGCTGCCTGTCCCCAAGAAATAAAATCTAGCATTTCTGCTCCCAGTCGGCCCAGAGCTCTGCTCCTCACACCATGATGGAGTCAGCGCCCTCTGACCCCCTGCCCTTTCCGTCCCGCTTCCTGGTCAGCCCTGAACTCACTGTTTTCCTAGAATGAAACAAGAACACTAGTTGGGTGACCTTTGTTAATTTTACTTTGGAAAAATGCACCTGATCACTCTCCCCAAAGCACAGCTGCGTATCACAGGCACGCGCCTGCCTCCTTGTGGTCTGAGATCTGAATTAGGGAAACTGCTAAGACTCTCTGAGCAGGGACCCCAGGATGTTCCCTTCAGTATGTGGTTGTTGTGTGCGGAGAGCCCCACGGTTCCCCACACTGTTCCAGGGAAAGACGCAGGGCCCACAGTGCCCAAAGAACACTCGTTGCTGGGCCTCAGTCCTCAGGTAGAGCGAGTCCCTGTGAGTAGATTCGTGGGGGCTCTGGCTGGCGGAGACCGACGTTCCCAGTGCCATGGGGACATGGGGGATGAGAGCACTGGGGAATTAGAAGGTTGGGATCTTGCTTTCATGTTAGTCAGTTCTGAACAAGGCCACCCTCCTGGGAGCCCCCGAGGGTTGAGCTCTGAGTCCTGCCTATGGAGGCTATAGGGGAGTCCTTGCTGGTCATGGTGCCTCCCCGTTAGCCTTCGAGGCCATCAGACACTGGGGACGGTTCCATCCAGGGAAGCCAGGAGAAGGAATGCTTTTGTTTAGCTGGGAAGAGTGGCTTGCTCAGTGTCACACAGCAGTCTGAATGTGTCTGGAGCGGACAGAGAGACCTTTCCCAGCAGAGCTCATTTCCTGTCCCCTCTTTGCCGGTGCCTGCAGGCTCCCTGGTCAGTCCCATTTTGGCCCTGCCCTGCCTAGCAGCCCAGGGAGCAGAAACAGTGACTGCACCTTGGCTCAAGGGGGGTTCCCATGCCCACCTACCTTTCCACTTCCAGGCTCTCCACTCGGGCCACAAAGTTGCTGGGCACGTAGCCTTCTCTTCCTGTGACGAGCGACTTGGCCAGCCACCAGTCTCCAGTTCTAACGGGACAGGGGAAACAGAGATGTGATCATGGCCCCTGTGGGCCCGTCTCTGGGCAGCTCCCAGGCCTCCTCAAAGCCATCTCTCCCTGGAGGGCAGAGAATCCGCAGAGGTAGACAGCACGGCAGGCAGGAAGGGACTTGTGTCCACTGCTCAGTGGTACGGTGGCTATCTGGGCAAGTTCTAGGGGGAAGAGCTAATCTACACAGCCTGGCCAGCCCAACAGGGCACAGGGCTCCAGCCAGCAGCCTTCCTCTTGATGAATGGGATGTGTTCGGAGCTTGGTGAGTGACTGGGGACAAGCTTTAGAAAAACACGGTTGGGTGGCCTGTATAGGATCAGTAGTCAGAACTTTTGTGAGCTTGGTTCAAGGCCATTGCAGAACTTCAAGAACCAAATCAGACCCTCAGGGCTCCACAGGACAAGCCTGGCCACTGAGAGAGAGCTGACCTAGAAGGAGTTTCTGAGAAGGACACGGGAAATGAGCTAAAGCGGGACTGGTGTGTGTAATCCATGTGGGCTCCTGTCTTGAGAAGGAGACAAATACGGACACAACTGACTTAAATGCAAGGCTGTCACAGAACAGCCAGAGCAGCCTGCATAAAGGACAAGGTCCACATGCCCAAAGGAGTCAGAAGGGCTGCATGGAGGTGGTGGCATGGAAGTGGGCTTTGAAGGATGAGCAGGAGGTTGTGAATGGAAACCACTTCACCAGAAAGACTCTGGAGAGGAAGACAAAAGGGTCCAGGGCTGGGGGCGGAGCAATGGAGAAGACTTCCGGGGTCAGCCATGAAGGATGTGGTGGGCGGAGAAGGGAGAAATGTGTGTGGGGGGTTCCTGCAGGGACAGGGGATGGCGTCCTGGAACCTCACCCCTTCAGGACCTGTAGCTTCTCCCCCTTCAGCATCTGCAGGTCCCGGTCATTCATGGCAGCGTAGTCATACAGGGCTACCACGAAATGCTCGTCTGAAAGGAACAAGGGAGTGACGACCACCACTCGGGCCCACGAGCGGGAAGGTGGGACTGGGGTGAGCCCGGCTACCAAGGAGAACAGGCTTCTGCTTGCCCATGCTGGAAATGATGTTCTCATCCAGCACAGGCCCCCACCCCTGGCCCCGTGACCCCACCAGGGATGGGCTCTCCCCCAGAGCCCATCCTGTCCTCCTTTCTGAACCCATTAAGAAGCCCTTTGTCCTGGACAGGGCATGTGTGAGGAAGCTGATGGCCAGAGGTCAGCCACAGGGAGGCAGCCACTGCCAGGCTGCTGGTGGCCTCAGGCCCACATTGGGACCTAGTGCTGGGAGTCCCTCATCTTCTTTTTCTACACCTGGCCTCGGAGGCCCTTGAGCCTCCTCTTGTCCTTTTTCTCCTCTGCCCCTGCCTGCCTCTATCCCCAAAAGGGGTGGTCTTGCCACATGGCAGCTGGAGCCCTGGACTCTCCACTGTCTGTGCCCAGAGCCCCCTGCCACACTGTCTGTGGCTGCCAGTGACCCTGCCGGGCTCCCCACCTTGCTCGTGGGCCCTGGATGGAAGGCAGGAAGAGGGCTCAGGAGCTTGGAGCACCGTCTTCAAATGAGCGCTGCTGTGACGAGGGCTCTCTGCACAGCCCTGGGAGCCACAGGACCCACCTGGTGAAGGTCACCTGGAGAGCGCTTAGCTCCCCCGGGTGAGGTGGCTCTGCTCTGTCACTGAGCTGAGTGGTGTGACCTTGGGCCGGTCACCTCTTCTCAGCAGGAAAGAGGGGGTCAGAATAGGTGACAGTGGTTCCCTGAAGTTTTAAGATTCGAATTCTGCTCACAAGTGTGACAGATTCTGAGCTTTTCCAGGGAAGGGGTCGCATCTACCTGTTGTCACCCCTTTGCCATTCCCGGGACAGAGTTGGGCTCTGTGTGCTGAATGTCCAGTGCTCATGGCGTGAGCAGGTTAGTGGGTGGGGCCCGGGCTGGCCGAGGCAGCCTTTCCCCACGCTGTGTGGATGTGGATGATGAGGAGGCTGCGCGAAGTCACTTTGAACGAGGCCACCCTCTTGGGGGTCCCCAGCGGTGGAGCCTCTGGCCCAGAAAGGCTGAGCTCATTCCCTGTGGTACCCAGCAGGTCAGCCCACGGGAGCAGAAGTGGAGTCTAGGGGCCAGGCGTAGTGGCTCATGCCTGTAATCCCAGCACTTTGGAAGGCTGAGGCAGAGACCCATCTGGCCAACATGGTGAAACTCCCTCTCTACTAAAAATATAAAAATTAGCCCAGTGTGGTTGTGTGCACCTGTAATCCCAGCTACTCAGAAGCTGAGGCAGGAGAATCACTTGAACCCGGGAGGTGGAGGTTGTAGTGAGCCGAGATCGGGTCACTGCACTCCAGCCTGGGTGACAAGAGCGAGACTCTGTCTCAAAAAAATAAAAATAAAAATAAAGTGGAGTCTGGGGATCAGGGAGGGGGCGTGGGTGGTTAGGTGGTCAGCGGCGGGACTCTCGAAGTGGCTTGGAGGGGGAAACAAGAAGGTGCCCTCCACAGGGGCAGACTGGGGCTGGAGGCGAGGGCCTGGGGCCACTGGCCCAACCCTTTGCATTTGGGAGTTAGAATCTTTGAACGCTTGGGTTTGATGATGCTGTGTGTCTTCCCTGGCACTCTTGTTTTTGTTCTTGTTTACAGTTTGTAAAGTCTTCCATTTTTTAAAAGTCCCACCCAGGCTCAGGCATACTAAAGAAACTTGTTCTCGGTTCCTGAAGAGACCCCCGCAAGGCGCACAGAGCTGGGACCTCTCTCAGCTTCCTTGTTTTCTCTTCTCCAGCCCTCAAGCTGCTCCCGACTTGTCTTTGTTTCAAACTCCACAAAGCTGCGACCTGGGGGAGAGGGCTGTGGAGCCTCGGGTTCCCAAACCACCCTTCTTACCTTCTTCCAGGTGCTCACTGGGCGGTGGAGGAGTAAGGTGGTTGAAGACAACCTCGGGTAGAAAACACACACTTGGGTTATTTTAGTCCCTGCCATGTGGGTGGGGCCTGGGGGGATGAGACTGCAGAGCGGGGCAGTGAGGGTATCTCCAGGGACCTACTGTAGGAGGAGAGGCAGCTGCCTGTGGGGGCTGCACAGGGCCATTCTGTACCCGGGGACCAGCACCACCCTCAAACAGACCCCGCCCTCTGCTGCCTTTGCCCTGACCACATTGGGGGACGCCCCGGTGTGGAGAAGAGGCAGCTGTGGACAATGAGGGACAGCCCAATCACTTGGGCTTCACGTCCTGGCTCTACCATTACAAGGTCAAATTGTAAATGGGTATTTGTTGACAAGAAAAAATATTTAAAAAGCGTATTTCCCCAAAACTCGACAAGCATATTTGTAGGTATGTATCCTGTAGAGAAACCTTAGCGTATGTGTACCAGGGAACGTGTACAAGAGTGTTCCTAGCAAAAATAGTAATACATAAACAAATTTTCTTTTGAGATGGAGTCTCGCTCTGTCACCCAGGCTGGAGTGCAGTGGTGTGATCTTGGATCACTGCAACCTCCACCTCCTGGGTTCAAGCAATTCTCGTGCCTGAGCCTCCCGAGTAGCTGGGATTACAGGTGCCTGCCATCATGCCCGGCTAATTTTTGTATTTTTAGTAGAGACGGGTTTTTGACATGTTGGCCAGGCTGATCTTGAACTCCTGGCTTCAAGTGATGCACCCACCTCAGCCTCCCGAAGTGCTGGGATTACGGGCATGAACCATTATACCCGGCCAATACATAAACAATTTTAAAACATGGAACTAACCCTCATGACAGAAGAATAAACAAATTACAGTATACTCCTGCAATAAAACTAATGAGCTACAGCCACGTGCATCAACGTAGATATGTTTTACATGCATAACACGGAGCCAAAACCCCAGTCTCAGAAGCATATGTGCTGTTTGATGTAGTTGACTTAAAGTTTACAACATGAATAATGAAACGAAATATTGTTTAGGGGTAATACATATGTGATAATATTAAAAAGCAAAGCTAAGGATGATAAACAGATTCTGGGTACTGGGGCCTGGGGTGAGGGGTACAAACAGGGCAGGGAGGAGGGAGATTCAAAGGAACGAGTCTCTTTCTGTGTCTGAAGTTGCGAGGTGGCTATACAAGTGTGCGCTTTGCTGTGTTCTTTCAACCCGACATATGTTACAAATATTCTTTTCTTAATTCCTTATTTATTGAACACAATTTTGAAGTAGCATTTTGCAGAACGATATGCATGTATGTTTCTATTAAAAACAGGAACACGTGAAAGAACACAGAAGAAGGGTCTCGAGGCAGGAGCTCTGAAGAGCTAACTCTGGTCACTCTACGTAGTGGAATAATGAGTAATCATATTTTTTTCCATATACATATTAGGTGACTCTTTTAAGTTAAAAAAATTCCAGGTGCTACTACTTATTATCATATAATTCTGGGGAAATTACTCAATCAGACTAAGTCCAAGTTTCCCCATTTGATCAATTACTTATTCAATAAACATCTTGTGGTTGTGCGCTGAGCCCGGCGCTAAAGTGGGACACAGATAGGCAAGATGCCTGGGTTCATCTGGGAAGTGGGATTAGTAATCCCCGTCTCCCCATCAGGTCCCTGTTAGGATAAAGAGATGACCACATGGACATGTGGATAGCACAGGAGAGGGTCCAGGTATGGCTGCCAACTGCCCCAAACCAAAAGGGGGTCACTGGTCAGGGAGTAGGGGGCACAAAGAGTCATCTAAAAATGTATCTTCAGGCCAGGCACGGTTGCTCAAACCTGTAATCCCAGCACTTTGGGAGGCCAAGGCAGGTGGATCACCTGAGGTCAGGAGTTTGAGACCAATCTAGCCACATGGTGAAACCCTGTCTCTACTAAAAATACAAAATTAGCCAGGTATGGTGGCATGTGCCTGTAATTCCAGCTACTCGGCAGGCTGAGGCACGAGAATCACTTGAACCCAGGAGGCAGAGCTTGCAGTGAGCCAACGTCCCACCGCTGTACTCCAGCCTGGGCAGCAGAGAGAGACTCTGTCTCAAAAAA